GAGCTCAACATTTCTGTTCCTAAGCAAGATGGTTGTTAAATGAGTTTTGCCCCATTTTACAACCTTTCTCGCCATTGTTGTTAAGCGAATCATTGCAGTTGTTAAGTTAGTGACACAGTTGTAAAGTGAATCTGGCTTCCCCTGTTGATTTTGCTTGTCAGAAGGTCGCAAATGGTGATCGCATCATCCCGGGATGGTGCAACCGTCATAAATATGAACCGTCATAAATATGCAAAGCATCCAAATTTTGATCACATGATTATGGGGATGCTGTAATGGACCTAAGTGTGAAAAACGGTCACAAGTCATTTTCTTCAGTGCTGTTGTATCTTTGAACGGTCACTAAATGAATGGTTGTAAATTGAGACAATTTGCAGTAGATTATTCAAGCTGATTAATATTATTAGTTATGCAGAGTGGTGCGGTGGCCTAGAGGTGGAGCTCTCACCTCACAATCAGTAGGCAGTGAGTTCGATCCTAGATAGAGGCAGATATTTCTCTCTCTCTGGGCACAATGAGAATATATCTGCTGAACAAAACTCTGTATTGGCAACAGGAAAGGCATCCGGCCATTAAATGCTCTGCTAGCTCCATTCAGTTGCCCAGACTCCACCCCACAAGGGATTATGGGGTCATTAAATGATTATGATTAATATTATTACTTATAACAACCGCAAGTGAAACAAGATACAACAAAGAGCTATCTTATAATATGAATTGGGAAAACTGTAGTCCTCCAGATTTTATTAAGCCATAGTTTTCCCCCATAGCCCACACAGAATGCCTAAGAGTGACGGGTGCTGGCAGTTGTAGTTTAGAAGAATCTGGAAGTATGCCAGTTTTCTGTTAGATATACTGGAAAGCACACTCCTAATCTGCAAGAGGTCTGCTCTTCATTCCTATCTGATGGCGCCCAAGTTCGCTTTTCGTTTTGCTTCCACTGAAAAACTCCATCTCTTCGAAATAATTAAAGTCAATGAATGAATGAAAACAATGCACTGTGAACTGAATGAAAATTAAACTATGGATATTAGCTGGCAAATCAGAGCATGGCAACTGCTCCAATTTGGTTTTTAATGGGCATCCCTGCTATTTTAGTCAGAATTAAATACCTGCTTTGATTTTTTTTTCCGTGTTTTTTGCAACCAGAGCTGAATAACAGCACTGCGATTATCTCCATGCTTCCTCGGAAGTCATTCTTTTCCATTCCGTGGAATTTACCACTTGTTAATCTTTAAGAGATTTATACTCTTGCAACACTCTTTCCCCCCCCTCCCCTTTAAAAAATGCAAATCTCCATGAATCCTAAGGCATCATTCAACGTTCCTTTAACCGGTTGAATTCGGTCTGCAGTAACAGCATGGAGGATGAGAATTTCGAAGGACTTTTGTGGGTGATAGGAACTCCACTCTACAATATTTGGACCCAAACAGTGGTGGGATTCAGCCAGTTCGAGCCGGTTCAGGCGAACCGGTAGTTAAATTGCTAGCTGGCCTCGCCCCACCCCACCCCACCCCTTCCAGGAATCTCCACTTGCCCCATTTTGGCTCCTTGGTAAGTGCAGGGAGGCTACTAGGCCCAAAATGGGGCACGGGGCAATGGGGTGTGCCCCCCGCCACGGCCCACTTTTGCTCCCAGGAGGCTGCAGGGAGGCTTACTAGACTCAAAACTGGGCTGGGGGGGGGTGCCTCCCCGCCCCCGTGGCCCGTTTTTGCTCCCTGGGGTGTGCAGGAGGCCAAGTGCTGCCTGTCACACCCCCTGGCCACGCCCACCATGGCTACACCCACCCAGCCAGTCTTTAGGGCAGAGAACCGATTGTTAAATTATTTGAAGCCGACCACTGGACCCAAAGAATGCAAAGATGTATCAGATCCAGCATCAACACATTTCTCGGGGATCTTCAATGGACACAGCCAGGATTTCAGCTCATTGTTGTGGAATTCAAACAGTAAAAGGGGTCAGTTAAGCTTCAACGCTCTGCTCCTTCACTGGTCAATAAAAGCAGGACTGTTGGCCCTATCTCAGTATGTTTCAGGGAGCACAAAAAATTGGGGAAGGGGCTTTCCACAGGTTGCCTCTTTACACGTATTGTGTCAAAATTCACACTCAGATTTCCCCAAAGCTAGCTTCCTCTGAAATAGGTGTTTCTGTTTTAAAAATGCTTAGCATTTCTTGAGAACTTTTTCCAGTGAGGCAATGGGGGGTGACCAGAATCGGTTGATTGTTGTGAGGGAACACATGGTGCTCTGGGATATGTGTGCGTGTGAGAGAGAGGGTGGGGTGGAGCGAGGGATGGGGAGAGAGAGAAAAGGAGAGGGAAAAAGGGAGCGAGGGATGGGGAGAGAGAGAAAAGGAGAGGGAAAAAGGGAGCGAGGGAGGGGGAGAGAGAGAAAAGGAGAGGAAAAAAGGGAGGGAGGGGAAAGAGAGAAAATGAGGGAAAAGGGGACAAGGGATGGATGGGGAGAGAGAGAGAGAGAGAGAGAGAGAGAGAGAGAGAGAGAGAGAGAGAGAGAGAGGAATCTGTCCATACTGATCTCTGAAAGATTGAGCACACCGTGAAAGATAAGGTACTGGTAGCTTTACAGACTGCATTAAACCATGGTATGAACTAGGTTTGCCCATTGCATGAACCATGAGCAGTTAGCTGACTTCACACCACATCCAAAAAAGAACAATCAGAGAGAAAGCCCATTGTTGGCTTAGCATAATATGTGAATCACATCCACCTCTCATCCACCCCAGGAAATCCAGTCCCCTTTAGAACTTTCCTGAAACTTTCTTCTCCTATTAAAAAAATCCAAAGACAACTTCTGCCTTTCCATCTATTCCATTAATCGGACAATCAAAGCCACAATTGGCGTGACATATTCCTTCCTGGCATGACGTATTCTTTCCATTTCGGTCCCATACTCACATCCAGAGCCAGATCCCGAATAGAAGTCCTCCATTTCCTCTAGTTCTTCATCTTCAAAGGAGTCATCGTCCCCCGAGCCCTCCATGTCAATCGGCCGCTCAAAATTTTCATTCCGCCACTGTTGAGCCTAGAGAATCAAAAGGGCCGACAAACAAACATATTATTCCCACGGATCCGATAGCAGAAACTTTCTATAGAGCAGCCTAAATTCGTTTGAAGCCTACATGAAGAGCCACCATAGGCTACAGATCACTTGTCCAGGACTGTATTACTTTTTCTCCCGGGAACCGAAGATCCTTTCTCTTGCCTTCCTCTCTACTTACTAGACTGCAAAGCTCATAAATCCCAGGCAGCACAATTTTCTTGGGCAATGAAGGGTAATTACCTTCAGTGCGAATTTCATCAAATCAACGAATACTGTTCACCAAAGTCAAGCATTTTGTAAAAGATGGCTCGTCTCGGTGTCATTTATTATATATTTTTCCCAGAAGAAAAAGGGATAAAAATAGATGGAAAACACACTAGAACTCGTAGTTGTTCATTCAAGGTTCATTCACACTTAGGCAAGAAAAACCAAAAGTACACATCTAGACTGGGTGAAACCAGGCTTAATAGCAGGAACTGTGAGAGGGATCTTGGAGTCTTGGTGGACAACCAATTAAATATGAGCCAACAGTGTGCAGCGGCAGCCAAAGAAGCAAATACAATCCCAAATTGCATTAACAGAGGGATACAATCAAGATCAAATGAGGTACTATTACCACTCTATAAAGCCTTAGTAAGACCACACCTAGAGTACTGCATCCAGTTTTGGTCACCACACTATAAAAAAGATGTTGAGACTCTAGAAAGAGTACAGAGAAGAGCAACCAAGATGATTAAGGGACTGGAGGCTAAAACATACGATGAACAGTTGCAGCAACTGGGCATGAAGAAAGGACCAGTGGAGACATGATTGCAGTGTTCTAATATTTGAGGGGCTGCCACAGAGAGGAGGGGGCTCAAGCTATTTTCCAAAACACCTGAAGGCCAGACAAGGAATAATGGATGGAAATTGACCAAGGAGAGATTCAACCTGGAAATGAGGAGAAATTTTCTGACAGTGAGAGCAATCAACCAATGGAACAGCGTTGCCTTCAGAAGTTGTGGGAGCTTCAGCACTGGAAGCTTTCCTGACAAGACTGGACTGCCATCTGTCAGAAATGGTGTAAGGTCTATTTGGGCAGGAGGTTGGACTAGATGACCTACAAGGTCCCTTCCAACTCTGTTAATCTGTATGTGTATCTGCTAAGGTGTGGTGGCTATTTTTCTGTTTTTAGAACTCTGCTGAAAACATTTCTTTTTTAAAAAAAAGCTCATAAGAAAACTGGAAAGTATGTTATAATTAACTTAGCTGGTTTAATGGTGCAAAACTATTTATTACAGTATTTCTCAACATTGGCGACTTTAAAAATCTGTGGACTTCAGTTCCCAGAATTCCCCAGCCAGCAATTCTGGCAGTTGTAGTTCACACACCTTAAAATGGCAAAATTTCAGAAACATTGATTTATAAACCGCTTTGATGGAATTTCAAGCTCCTGCAGATTTGCATTAGCAGAATGTACTTTTGTCCTTACAAAGCACCACATTTTTGTCAATCTCCCCCTCATCCAATGCCACATATTTTAGTATCAGTAGTGGGGTTTTTTTTCGTTTTTTTTTTTCTTGGAAGACAATCCAAGGATCAAGGAAGAGAAACAGCAACTTATGTGCATTTATAAATGAAGCTATGTAGTTTTTTGGTGGAAAAGTTTGACAACAGCAGAAATGCTACAAGCAATTTTTGCAAGCTTAGCAGAAAAAAAAAACTCTCTGGAATCTGCACTATGGAAGCCAGTCCTTAACAGAAATCAAACGAATTCTGCAAGCATCTCCAGCTGAAGGTGGTTGCATCAACAGCTGCCTTGCATAAACCCCTGTGCTATAATAGTTAAGGTGGTTATTGGAACTGGGAAGACTCTCCTTCTCCATTTACCATCAGTCATAAAAGCTCACTAGATCAGGGGTCCCCAAATCCCTGGGGCGGGGCCCGGCACTGGTCTACACTCCTCCAGAAACTGTTGTGGTCCACCAGCGGCCAGAGCTGGCAGCAGATTCAGACAGTGAGGGGGTTGGAGAGGAACATGGGCCAGCCCTGGAGTCTGGGGAAGGCTCTGATGAGGGCTCTGCGTCGGAGGCAGAGAGGGGGCCAGGGCCAGATGCCAGTTATCAGCTGTCTTCGGAGCCAGACATCAGTGAGGCAGATGAACAGATGGAGCCTGTTCCCAGTGTGCGCATGCGCAGAGTTGCCAGACGAAGGGAACAGCTAAAGAACAAGGGTTGACTTGGGAGTAAGGCCACAGGTGGACGATGAATGGCCCTTCCAGAGGGAATAAAAGAGGAGCGAAAGGGGAGTGGAGTTTGCAGGAGGCAATTAGTTCATTCCTGCATTCTTGCCAAATATTGCGGCGACTGAAAGATATCGGCCTGGCCACTCTCCAAGTCTGATCAAGGTTGGTAATTGTGAACCAACTTGAAAGACCGTGGGAGAGGAAAGACTTTGCTGGAGAGGAATTCACTGTAAATTAAATAAAAGGGGTTTATTGGGACGAAAACTCGACTTCGTGCTGCTGGGGAAGCCTAGATCAAAACAGAAGCCAGGCCATACAAGGGATCAAAGCCCCATCCACACATGCATGAAATCCAGGCAGTGCACGAAACCACGCCCTCTCCCTGTCCATAGAAAAACTGCCCTCCATGGAACCAGTCCCTGGCACCCAAAAAATCAGGGTGCCACTCAGTGGTGGGTTTCAAAATTTTTTACTACCGGTTCTGTGGGTGTGGCTTGGTGGGTGTGGCATGGTGGGCATGGCAGGGGAAGAATACTGTAAAATCTCCATTCCCTTCCCAATCCAGGGGGAGGTTACTGCAAAATCCCCATTTCTTCCCGATCAGCTGGGACTTGGGAGGCAGAGAATAGATGGGGGCGGGGCCAGTCAGAATTTTTGCTACCGGTTCTCCGAACTACTCAAAATTTCTGCTACCGGTTCTCCAGAACGGGTCAGAACCTGCTGAAACCCACCTCTGGTGCCACTATACTAGATGACCATGGGCCAGACATATCTCTCTTTTATGCACTTTTTATTAAAGGTATTTTTTAAAAAAAAGAAAATACAAACTAATACAAAGTAAGAAAAAAGAAAAAAATCAAAGAGAAAGCTAAAAGTGCAAAAAGAAGGAGGGAATTAAAAGCAAAATAGAAAAAGAAAGAAAAAAGATACCAAGAAATCCCCATGGTCACATGATCAAACCTTGGACGCTTGGCAACTGACTCGTATTTATGACAGTTGCAGTAGTCCTGGAAGCATTTTGTGACCTTCTGACAAGCAAAGTCAATGGGGAAGCCAGATTCACTTAACAACCATGTTACTAATTTAACAACAGCAGTTATTCACTTAACAATTGCAGCAATGAAAGTCCTAAAAAAAGGGGCAAAATTCACTTAACAACTTGCTTAGCAACAAAAACTTTGGGCGCAATTGTGGCTGGAAGTTTTGAGTTCCTACAGGAAAGGCTCAAATAAATAGGCAAACGCAGGTTGCTGGTACATTTAACCTAATGCTACCTGTTCTGACTGGCAGCATATATTTAGGTAACCTTCCCAAATGTTGAACCTATAAATAGCAATAGAATTTAGACTTATATGCCGCCCAATAGCACTCTCTGGGAGGTTTGAAATGTACATATTATCCCCAACAATCTGGATTCTCATTTCACTGACCTCAGAAGGATGGAAGTCTGAGTCAACCCTGAGCCCCATCAGGGTCGAACTCTGGGCTGTGGTCCCAGAGTTTGCCTGCAATACTGCACTTCAACCACTGTGCTACCAGGCTTCTGTGTTTTAAACTATATCCCATCAGTGTTGAATATTTCTGATGCTCATTGGGGCAGGCAGAAACCAGAGACACAAATATTTGGAGACCACTACGTTGTTGAAGGTTACTTGGTCCATATGGAAAAGTTAGGCATAAATGATGCAAACTGCAAAAAAGGGTTGAAAACACACAAGCAGGAAATACATTCCTAAACTAACAAAATTTAGGGAGTCACCCACCACCATTTACATGCTGATGTATTGCATCGTTGGTATCTCGCATTTCAAAGCTGGGACTCATTTACCAGCAAACGTACCTGTAATTTTACTAAGCCACAACAGCCAACGAACCGTGGAATTGGGTCTCTGCCTTTATCCCTATTTGAACTTAAATGGCATTGGGATTTTGCCACTAAATGATTCAAAGGGAAAATGAAAAGTCCACCAGTGCCAAGAAGTCGGTCCAATGTCCGGTCATCCTTCTTCTAACAATCTCACCTGGCCATCAACCAGGAAAACTGGTTAGGCTGGCAGACGCTGTAGCCCCATCACACTGAAATATTTATGGTTTGCAGGCTTATGAACAGGAAGATGCCGATGCTGCACTGTTCAAAGCGAAGGAAAGACAAGGAGCCAAGAGAAGGTTTGCTCTTATAAATTCTCTAGGGCTATGTCTTTGAAACTTGGCAACCATAAGATGCGTGGGCTTCAACTCAGCATGCTGGCTGGGGAATTCTGGGAATTGAAGTCCACACATCATAAAGTTGCCAAGTTTCAAAAAATACTGCTCTAGAGCCGTAGTGAGAAACCACTGCCTATTTCAAACAGGTCCTCTGGAATAACATTTATTTATTTATTTATTTAATTTTATTTTGTCGCGCATATATAAGATAACAGGTAAAAGTATAAACATAATTTGAATACATGAAAAGAGTAAGTAAAAAGGAATATTAGAACAGGGACGGTAGGCACACTGGTGCACTTATGTACACCCCTTACAGACCTCTTAGGAGTAGGGTGAGGTCAACAGTAGACAGTTTAAGGTGCAAGTTTTGGGGGTTTGGGGAAGAAACTACAGAGTCAGGTGGTGTATTCCAGGAATTGACCACTCTGTTACTGAAGTCATATTTTCTGCAATCGAGTTTGGAACGGTTTACCTTGAGTTTGTATCTATTATTTGCTCGTGTATTGTTGTGGTTGAAGCTGAAATAGAATTATAAAAAATGATAAAGAAA